GACTAAAGCGAGTCGATGGAGAGGAAATAGGAACCGGATCAGGACGAAGTCGAAAGCCCTTCCCTCCCCACCTCGCTCTTATGCCTTTTTGTGCAATGTAGACAGGTACCCAATCTTGCATTCATCGCCTCCGACTTGCTCTTTCCCACGGCCAGTCTGTTTCCTCGTCCTCACATCGCTCAATCCCGGTCACTTCCAACCTCACCATCGAACCCCCTCCTCAAATCGCTGGCTCAAGCGCCTTATCCTTCCTTCCCCCGCCCCTAGTCAAGGAGCGGTCACATCGCTCACATCAACTCGCGCGCCCCTCTCCCTCCTTGCTGTCCCGTCGCGCTACATCCACCACCCCCCCCCCGGCGGTGCAACCACCGCCTTGTTGTCCTCACGCCCTCCCCGGGATGAGAGCAGTCAGACCCCTGTCCTGACGCCTTGCCCACCTCAACCCACACTTGCAAGACTGGGTCTCGAGAAACACTGGCCCGCCTTTCCCCTCTCAACCTCCCACGTCCCCACCTACATCGTACCGAGCAGCGACGGCTAGCTTAGTTGCGTTGTCCTACCTAGCCCCCTCCTCTCCTCAACCGGGCAAGAACTGGTACTGACGGTGGACCACTCGACAGGAAGGTTTTTGGCGCGAGGACAGAGCTGGTCTTCAATTGAAACAGCAGGAGGCGAAGGCCGGGTCATGCGGATGGACACATGTCTTCGTGAGTCTAGACGGACTCAATGAAGAGCGACATCGCCGCCACGAGTGGCCAGACTCAGCCGCCCTGGGTACAACGACCTGTCGGCTGGTTGGTCGGTCAAGGCACCTTCTGGCAGATCGCGAATCTCCAACATGGGCAGCGGTGGGCACACAGACGAGCGAACGAAAGCAAAGAGCAAGGGGGGGCTGGTCCCGTTCGACCAGGCAAGAGAGCGACTGAGAAAGAGAGAGAAGGCGAGAAAAAAAAGAGAGATACTACGTACCCACCCCTTCCCTCCGCTCGCACACTCCTATACGCAGTCATTTTACAGGCTGGCATTGCGACTGACTGGGGCCGCTCTTGTCGGTGCTAAGCCTAAACTGACACCACAACCTTGTCGCTGTCACCCGCGCTCTTTTGCTGGGCAGGAGCTACCAGGGTCGGGTTGAAGCTCCAGGCTCCACGCTCCAGGACCCACGCTACCTTCTCCACCTGGACAAGCCCAGGACAAGTCCGTTGTTGCTTCCACCGCTCCCTGGCACCTGCGCCTCTCGCCGCCGCTCAGTGAAGGGGTGCTAAGTGCTCAGTGCGCTCCATGTTGGGTACAGGCCCCCCAGTGGCCTGCGCTGCCGCTCTCTCGCTCGCCCGCTCGTGGGTGCTCCCCTCTGCGACTCCTCCTCCCGATACCCTTTTGCACTCTTGAACCCCCGTGGGTTGTGGGCTGGTGTTCGCGGTCTGGCCGGTACATCCTGCCTCCCCGAACTGCCCCCCTAGCACTTGTACCTTGGTCAACCCTGCCCATACATCCTCATCCTGCCCGCTCCGGCCGGGATCTGCTGGTGTCTGGGTATCGACCTTGACCGGCCTCCTCCTCTTCCTCACCACCAAAAAACAAAACCATCCGTCCTTCGCCAGGACCTTTCCCTTTTCCTTTCCATTTCACGACACACCAACCACCTCTTATTCCTTCTCCCCTTCCCTTTCGCTCCCTATCCCAGCAGGTCGTGTCCCCCCGTGAAAACGGAGAGGAAGGTTAGTACTGTTTTCGCTTACAATGTCGTCTCTGCCCGCGCCGCCTGTCCCTCCATCCATGCCTTTCACTTCAGCCCAACCAAGCCAAAACCAAAACCGCAACTTGCCCCATCTCCTCTTCCACTTGTCATCGCGCATCTTGTTACTGCATCTCTTGCCCTCGGCCGCCCTCCACCCTCTCAACTCTATCTTTGCCCTCCTCCGCCTACCGACGGAAGCAGACCCCACGAATGCGGGAGCTGATTCACATTCGTATCTAGACTTATAGGGTTGAGCCTTCCAGCAGCCCGTGGGTTTTGTCGTTCCGAGCTGTCACCATCTCCGACCTTGTGAATCAACTCAAACGAAAGCCACCGCCCCCCTCCTCTCAGAGAGACCAGTCCCGAACATCTCTCGCCCGCTCTACCTCCTCCCCTGTCTCTGTCCTGTGCTTTTAGCTCGGCTTGCCCGCTCAATTCGCTCGTCTGCCGAGATTTGAAAGGAGATTCTGTTCTCACAACCTGCCGACGGATGTCACGATCACCACGAGCGCCAGCGTTAACGACTTTTTACGAGACCAACGATTGCTCCTGACGACTGCTGCCCTGTCTTGGATGCTTCTTCGATCCACGGCCGCCCACAATCGCTCACAAGTGTCCGCTGCCGCGTCCGCCAGCAAGCCCTGCATCTCAACCTCTCGACGGTGTGTGCTTGACACCAGCCTTTGAGCAATACCGTGAAGCTGGATCTCCCTCCGATTTCCCACGTGCAGACCCGGGGCCCGGCCGACGTGTCATACTACAACGCCCCCTCTAACCAACGGCCGCTGTACATGGGTACCGAGAGAATACCTTCTCTGCCATTGCCAGCTCAACACCAGGCCTACTCCTCTTCGGGGACATCATCACCTCGGGTCAGCTCCATCGGTTCAGCAGCCAGCTCCCACCTCGGTTCTCAGTCGTCCTTCACCTCGGCTGCCTCCTCCAACGGCCCCAAAACCCCCTCTCCTAACCTGCCCGTCACGACCGCCATTCCTGGATCTGCAAGCCAATCAATTGGAGGATACGAACAGTATCCCACTATGAACCAACCAGCCGCTGAAATGTACTACCAACAGCATATGTCTGCAGGCCAGCCTCCCTCCAACCAGACAGTAACATCGGGCATGTCTTACCACCACCAGCAGCAGCCTCCTCCGCTGCAGCCAAGCCATTTGCCCCAATACCCTGCACCTCCCGCCCAGCAGTACGGTCAGCCTTATGGTTATGCCAATGGCATGGCGTCGCCCCAAAATGCCCACCCGAACGTTGGAAACTCGATGGGCGCGTCTCAAAATGTGCTGCCGCTGCCCGCGCCCCCTAACGGCAACGCTTACCAGGGATTTGACACAACGGGCCAGGTGGCGCCACCTGGCATGAAGCCCCGAGTGACGGCCACGCTCTGGGAAGACGAGGGCAGTCTGTGCTTCCAGGTTGAGGCGCGCGGTATCTGCGTTGCTCGTCGCGAAGGTACGCATGAACGCACACGTGAAGCTTCGCCTTAGGAATGCATCACTAATCGTAACCGCAGATAACCATATGATTAACGGCACGAAGCTCCTCAACGTGGCTGGCATGACCCGTGGTCGCAGGGATGGTATCTTGAAGAGTGAAAAACTGAGACATGTCGTGAAAATCGGGCCCATGCACCTCAAGGGCGTGTGGTAAGTTTTACATTCTTCCTGTTCAGCTTGAGCCACTAGTTCCTGACGAATTCTCAGGATCCCATTCGAGAGGGCTCTCGATTTCGCAAACAAGGAAAAGATTACGGAGCTTCTGTACCCCCTCTTCGTCCACAACATCGGCGCTCTCCTGTACCACCCCACCAACCAAAACCGTACCAACCAAGTCATGGCTTCGGCCGAGCGTCGAAAGCAGGAACAGAACCAGATGCGCAACTCTCAATCGGGCCCAGGTCTGGCACCTATTCAGCAGCATCACCACCACCATTCAATGGGACTTCCTGGCCCCCAGCAGCCGCTTCCGTCTCACTCCAACATGGGACGACCCTCGCTGGACAGAGCTCACACTTTCCCCACGCCCCCGACTAGTGCTTCGAGCGTCATGGGCGGCAATATGGGCACTTCTGATGGCTTCCAGTGGGCCCAGCAGGGCCAAGGTATAGGCAGCGCACAAAATGCGAACCCCATGTCCATTGACACTGGGTTGAGCAGCGCGCGCTCGATGCCAGCCACACCTGCTACCACGCCCCCCGGATCATCTATCCAGAGTATGCAGCAGTACCCCGCCGCTAGCCAGTCTTACGACAACTCGCGACCCATGTACAATGCGTCCTCACAGCAGTCTCCGTACCAGACGACGAACCCTGGCCCACAGGATCGCTCCTTATACGGACACAACGATCCATACGGCAAGAATGACATGGGCCCTCCTTCGTCGCGCCCTGCAGGACCCGGCGCTCCCGTGGACCAAAAGGCTACGAACGGCATTATCTCGTCTTCGGACCAGAACGGCCACGGTGTCAGTCACCAAGGCGGCGAAGATGAGGCCGAGCATGAGCAAGATGCCGAGTACACTCATGACAGCGGAGCTTACGACGGCAACCGAGCTTCGTATAACTACGCCGCACCCCCTGTGGGAGCTTTGTCTTCCGAACACCACTTGTCGCCCGAGATGACGGGATCTCCCAGCCACGCCCCGACGTCCGGACGTGCGACGCCCCGCACGGCCGCGCCTCCTCAGCCGTACTATTCCCAGCAGCCTGGCTACAGCACCCCTCCTCGGGTTCAGCAGCAGCCATCCAGCAATCTCTACAGCGTCATGAGCAATGACCGAGGTGCAACAGGTGGCTCGGCTGGTAGTGACGTTTACGCCCCATCAGCTGACATTGGCTCCATGTCCAACGGCTATGCTTCGCAGCAGCCCGTGCTGAATGGCAGCGGCGGCATCAAGCGAGGACGCGAGGATGAAGATGATCTTCAGCGACCCCTGAGCGGCGGCCCCGGCATGGAAATGAAGCGACGGAAGACGCTCATTGACGGGACCATCCCTGCCACCGGTTACGATGCTATGGCCAGGCCAGCTTCTGCGACTGTCGCTCCTACAAGGCGGAGGTGAAGCAGCAAGCCGTTAACCATGTTTGCTATGCCACCCTGACTACACTTTTCGTCACAGCATCCCGCGGCGTTGTGGCCATGATTTCTGCGGCACGTCCACGAAACTTCGTGGATCGGAACATTGGGAGGCACCAGATCCTGCTCCCCTCAACACTCCTTCTCTCAATTCTCCTTGTTACCTTGTATTCGCAACATGACGTCAGCGCCTTGTGCTCTGCCCGATGCGCTGATGACCTTACGACGTACCGTTTTCATTTCCAGAACCTACCATCACGGGCTGTAGATGTCTGATGATTCACGCTTTGCATGGAAGGACCTAATGCCCGAGCGAGGTCCGCCTCGACTCTCGACTTTTTTGTTCATTCGATTCGACAGAACCCGGAGGTTTGACACACCGGGATCGACCATCATGGGCCTACCGTGAGAACTTTGCCTGGCATGACACTCGGGGAGAGCAAACCTGCCAGGATCTGTCTTGGTGGTCATGACATCTCGGTTAAACCTCTGGACATGGAGGTGAATGCTCAAGACAGAAGGGCATGCACCGGCTGGAGGCTGGAGGCGGCACATACCTTGAGGTACTATTTATGATGATAACGACTTATTAACTTCTACAAAAGTGTGTTGGAAACGTCCTTTCGGTAACGATCCCATGAATAACAATAAAAGGCTTCTCGAACGATTTTACCCCGAAAACGTGAATGCGGTTATAGTTTTTCCCGTGCCAGATTTCGAGCACATGACCAAAGAGGGTGCACAGAAACGGACCATGTTCAAGGCCTGGTGTCTAGGCGAGGACGCAAAGGTTCGTGCTTGTTCTGTAGGCTTGTTCATGAAGGGGAGGGGGCGGAGTTCTTTGCTCTCCAAGCCAAGGAAAGATCGCAACACCTAAGGTATATCGAAGTGGTAGTCGGGCACTGAAGGGTCACGCTGCTGATCTCGTTACATCCAGGGCTCGTTGTAGCCACGAGGCGCAACACTCGAACCTTTTTCGAGGGTGCCGCATCTCCTCGGTGTAGGTCTGAAACTTACTTTGGGGAGGGACAAGGAACGTCTGGTCAGGAGCCGGGCCTCAAAGCTTGAAAACGGGCCAGACTGATCCTGAATGAGGGATGGTTTTGGCGCTCGGCTGAGGGCTGGCATGTGGGAGACGTATGTGGACGGGCTGGCTCGTGGACGGCATCTAGGTTTGGTGCACCCCGACCCGTAGGCTGCAAATGTGTGCACTGCAATTGACGATTCGATGTGCATGTGATGCATTGCATTGATTTTGGGCGCTCTTGCAGTTCCATGCCATACTCTTGACCATTGAAATTTCTAGTATGACATGAGGAGTGGCATTTCCACGGTTTTTATCATCTCGTTGCACATTTATTAGAGGTTTTGGGTGTATCGAGGCCACCGTGAGTGATGTAGGTACCTACTTCCCCCACTTTGAGGTGTCCTTAGCGCGAGATCTCGCATAAGCTGCTACCGTGAGGACCGACCTCTTCTTCGACCCACTTCACCAACGTTGACCTCAGCTACCTCTGCTACCTACCGACCTACCAACCTACCTACCTTGCCTCTACAAGAACAATTTAGCATTTGCCCTACATACTCTGTTTTGCTATAAAACCCACAAAAAGGCCACCCGAAATCACCACCAACAGCAAATAGCTTCATCCCACTCACACTACCGACATCCACACCGTGGAAGAGAGTCTTGCCAGCAACCTCCAACGTCCGTTCTTTTTTGGATATCACCTACCAACATCGTCATACGAAACAGCTCTGAGGAAACCAGATAAATGGCAACTCCAACGCCAGGGGAAAAGCTGGCAGACAAGGCTCCGAAGCCCGGCTTGCCGCAACAGGGACGCACGCCGTCCGTTTTCCCAGCAACGACCCCGCCAGTATCGACGCCCTTCTCGCATGCGCACGTCGCATTTTCTCCTCGAGGGCCTAAGTCGTCACCGCAGCAATTTAAGAAGTCGCCAGCAACGTCGGCAACACTCATGGGTCACACGAATGCGCCCCTCAACTTTGACAGCCCCTCGGCGGCAGCAGCCATGGGCGCGCTTGGCATCGGCGGCGGCCTGGACCTAGGACTGGACAACGTCAGCGTCAACGGGCTCGGTGGACTCGGGGGTCTTACTGGCGAGGACGACAGAATCAAGCGTTTGGATGCGATCATCGACATTATCGGAGTTCGTGCCCCCGATCAACGACCCCGTTCCCAAGCGTTGAAAGAACATGGCTAACCGAAGCGGCAAACAGAACGCCAAAGGACGCGTCAGCGAAGCTGGTCTCGAACGCCTGTCTCAGCGTACAGGACTTAACAAGATTTGGGAAGACCACAGAACGCCTGACGGCAAAGTAAAGAAGACATTGGTGATTGCGGGTCACGGCCTCCAACTCGACATCATCCTCGACAACAATATTGTGGAAGGCGTCACGCTTGCGTTTCCCGAGTCCGAGTCACCCATTGTCGCAAAACACGTCGACCGCGCGGGGCAGATTCTGCTACGCGACTTGCAGCTTCTGCCAGACCAAAGTCCACTGACGAAGAAGATGGACGAATTCGCTGCCAACCTCGAACGGCTCGCAACACTGGACAAGCTTAGCATATTTCCCGGCTTGGACTGCCAAGAAGCAGTAGCAGGCATCTTTGAGAGCCTGGAAAGGCTATATAATTGGGAGTTGGCAAGGGTCAAGGAGGACCCCGCCATGGCAGGAAAGCCAGACGTTTTACTGGAGAGGACCGTCCAATGTTCAAGGAGCGGCCGTCCCGCCATGCATGCGCGCGACCAGGTCGGGTTGTCTCTTGATTACTGGGCCGAACGGCGCCTTGTACCACCCAAGACCCCAGCGACCGAGACGTACTGCGCAAACGCCGAACAGATTTGGTCTATCATAGTCGGATGCAGACCCTTGGATGGCGAGCTCTACCCCCCGATCCGAATTTCCGAGGACTGGATATCTCAAAAGGTTGAGAAGACCGATCCTGTTCCCACAGATCTGTTGGAACCCTCCAACGGTCCCCTGTTGGACTGGCTGGAACCGGCACCTACGGTCCTCCCACCAGCCTCGGACAACAAGGCAGTTGCAGTGGAAGTCGTCCAGCCAGACGGTACCACACAGCGATACCCCAACGTCAAGTTCGTTGCAACACTCAATCCCCCAGTCATCGTGCCCCAGGCTGTCTGTAATGCGCTGTACAACCTGAGCGGCGCGCAGCCACCGCCGATGATGCTCCCAAGCTACACATTCGACGGCATATCGTTCCCCATTGTCGACGGACAGAATCACGACGCCAGCGAACTCCGTACGATATCCTGCGAGAGGGATGTCTTCGTCTTGGGGGCACCACAGCGACGTAGGCACGAGAACACGCTCTTCGTGTATAAGCCTGTGTATGGACAGACCATCAGTGAGCTGCCCTTCTCGCATCCACGCCAGCTGGTCGCCATGCTTCCCACGCTACGGCAATACGCTTTCATCTCACGGCTCCTGGCACGCAGTTTTGGGGCTAACATCACTGGCTCGGGGCTGGAGAAGCTGGACAAATCCATCATCACACGTGAGGTGATGACGACAAGCGCCAAGTTCAAGCGTTTCGTAGCTGACAAAGAGGCAAAACGGGACTCGGAAGCGGAGAAACCGCTGACTTTGGACGTCGTGCTTTCCGTCCACCCCACTGCTGGTCTCAGTATCGTGTTCCCGTTCCGAGATGCGACCGCCAACATCGAGCTGCAGGTTCTCGCGAACGGGGTAGTCAATATTGTCTCACAAAATATCCTGTCCGACGAGTTGGATGCTGCACAGGACATCAGCGAGGGCCCTCGACGGAAGATGAAGCCACATGACCTCGGCAGGCTGCTCGAGGTGTTTGAAGATCTCTGCCAGTGGGCGGAATGGATTCGGAAAAACTTGTCCTAAGCCAGCAGGCAGCATCGTGTGGTCCTTCGAGTTATGATACCCAACAGACGTCGGCCCGGTCCTGGAGTCAGGCGTCTGTCATCACATGGGATGGAAGTGGGGATGTGTGTTTTTGCGTTTGACCAGCAGAGAGGATCATGTTTCCGACCAGCCTCCCTTACTTGCTGGCGCCATCAGGCTGGATGGCTGTGGTTGCTATGGCTTCAGGGCGTAGGAATGGGCAAGGCGTTCCTGTTAGGGGGGTATCCTGGGTTCTGGCAGTGGCATGGGACCAGCATGGACGGAGGGCTTCACCCTTCCGACTCTACTAAGCGACTTTTTCTTCTCCAGTAATAGCAGTAGAAAGCTGCCAGAATGGCGACAAAGCACAATCAACAGCGTTTGGTTCCAGATACCCCACGATACTCCCGCCCCGCCGCCGAGGTGACTGTTGTTTGAAGCACATTCCACAAGAGGGCTGGGGCTGTTGGGCTGTGCTTCAAGATCGCATGACGAGGGTGAACTGTCAGGAGCGCAACGTGGTGGTGTTGTCATCGTTTGACACCAACAGACTGCTGTCTGAGACTCACCAACAGGACCAGTGAGCGAAAACGCGAGGTCGGAGTCGCAACGTCCTATCTTCGTATCCAAGACATGGTGGGCGGTTGACGTCTCGTCACGTCGCGGAGTCGAACAGTTGGAAACACGAGTGGCATGCTGGGGAACTAGTGGAGTGTCCTCTGGAATGAAGGGTTCTTTGTGTTCCCCCCCTTCTTCTCTCCCCCTTACAGGCGTCATCCTCGTTGTCGTGTGGTTCGCCCTTCGGAGGGAAGTGCTAGCATGATTGTCAGGGATCGTGAATATTGGACCTCTTCATGCCCGACTGCGAAATCCACCTGGGCATAATTTGATTTTCAGATGGGATTGTCAATATCGATGTTTATGCTCATTAGCGCGGCGCTGTGTTGCTTCCGGGCCTTGTCCAAGATCAGGGTCATCTCGTTTTCCCTGTTTTTTTTTCCCTCCTGGGCTGGTGGGCTGCCCTATGAGCCTGATGGACTGATGCGACCAACCTTGGTGGGCTGACGACCAACAACGTGTGATGTTTGATGAACGCGGGCGGCGAAGATCTGCAACTCAGGGACGAGCTCGGACATCGATCCACGGGCGGCGCGCTATCCGAACTGTGTGCTGTTCTGCAAGCTGGAACAACAGAACCCTTTGTTTATGCCCCCTTTCGACAAAGCCCTTCGCTCGTCCCGATGGCGGGAGTCTGTGCCTCCGCTGAAGGGTCAGATGGATGCAGAAGGGAAAGGCCGAAGGTTGGGTGGGAAGGCAGCGGGAGGCCTAGGTGCGGCTGGCCCGGGACAGGCTCCACAAGGGGGGGTTGACGGGTCCTCGACCTCGTCGCATCATCAGGTAGTCAGTGATTTGCAAAGTATCGAAGTCTGTCTGGGCAACACGCCTACGGGGGCGGACGGCGCAGCCCCCCGGAGGCTATAGAGGTCTCACTAGCTGAGAGTCGGGTGTTCCATCTCGCCAACCAACATTCCAGCGCCATCTTCCTCTTCCAACCGCCATTGCCCCCCCGCCCCAGCCGTCCGTCCCAGCCGCATCACGAGGTATTGCGCCTCCCCGAGCGCTGGCCTGGGTGTGAGTAAGCAAAGTTCCGGCACACACACACACACACACACACGCGCGCGCACACTTCTCTTTACGAGCCGCCAAGGTGCTTGGGCCTCCTCGGAGCGGGAGGTCAGGCTGTGGCAGGCCATCCACGCAGTTCTCCACCGCGTCCCCGCCGCCCCCCCCGGTCCATACGGGCGGAAAGATTGACGAGCGGTGGCTGGCGGTCAAGCGAAATAAGACCTGGAGAGAGCATGAAGCATAATATTGGTTTGCAATTACACGAACCCCCCTTTTTTCTCTGCCATCGGTGGGGAGTAAGATGCGCATGAAATAGGGGGACAGGAAAAGGCTGGCAACCAAGCAGGGGAAGGGGGGCCTTGGAGGTTGGAGGGCACTCGGGGCGCCGGATGGTGAGTTGCAGCTGTGGTGGTGGTGGTGGTGTTGTGTGTATGTTATTGTTGTTGTTTTGTTTTGATCTCCATTCTTTTTGCCGAGTTGTCGGGGCGGCGGCGGCGGTGGTGTGATGGTGTGGTGGTGTTGATGGGGTGTGCGTGCACTATTGGTACATGCGCTGGGG